CTCAAACCACATCATACGCAACGAGCCCATTGCGCGCTGTCCGGGTACCGCTCACCAATGGTGAAGCTGCTTTTTGGGACCTCAGGAATTCGGCTGGTGCAATTTGTGCAGGTTGATTTGCAAATGGGCCAATCTGGAAGCATTGTTTTTTACGCAGCTGTATACACATGTCCAAACATATATCATATAGAGAGACAGAAAGAAAGAGAGAGACTTACCAGACACTGTCCATACTACCTGAAGGAACAACAACGTGTATGACCTTATACATATCTATTTTTATAGTTACATATCACTCCAGCAGGATGATCTAGTGCCCAAACGAGACTATGCTAAAACCGCAGTATCAGGCGCCCACGCAAGGCAACACGGAGTAAGTCCTTGGGTTCAAGCGGTTGCTGAACACCGTATTCGTATATTTGTCATATTCGTGTCAGGGAGTTGGGATTTACCACGACGCTCTCTCGCTCTCTCTCTCTCTCTCTCTCTCTCTTTCAGTCCACTTCAGCTATCAGCCATGTCTTAGTGCTCAATGCCAAGGCTCTCTTTTTCTAGGGTCACTGACGGCGGCGACTTTGAATCCCGGCCTGGGCAGTGGTTGGACATGGACCTGTAGAGAAACTCGAGAAACTCAAGGAGTCTGGGGAGGCGAAGGGGAGCCCACAAAAGATTTCTATCAAGAATCAGGGGCCGCGAAATGCCGCAAAAATGCCTTTAGGCTCCTTCCCCTCTCCCACCCCTCCCCCCCTTGACCCGGAAATCTGTAGCCAATGCCTAGGTTCCACAAGACCACGATGTGCTGCTTCCACTGCGAGGGGCCAAGGGGCCATCCGACAATTTGCAAATTGATTCACCGAGCCTCGATACCCCGTCTGGTGGTTTTAAAGGGAAGCCAAAAGGACCACCATAATTTCCATTTGGAGAGGCCAAATCCAAAAACAAGACACACCCATACGGATCCCCACACTATGCTTCTCACAGGAACCTCCCTTTCGACCCAGTTGGGGTCCATGTTAAAAAGCAAGCCTGGCTTTGAGCATGAGAGTCCAAGCAGCTCCGATGCTGGCTTGCCATGCCGTGCATCCTGGTTAAAGGAGAGTTGCATAGGCATTTGAGCCACAATCAAAACCCAGGTAGATGAAGTTTGGTAAGGGACAATCCCAACCATGAATAGCTACGGCCGCCTTCTTAATTCCTTACATGGTTCTGGGTAGACCATTTTTATACCGGGTTTTGATTGTGACTCATTTGAAGAGGCAGTCTTGCAACCTGCTTTGCTGTGGACATTTGGGTCAGCCGGACCTTTTTGATCGAACGCAGAGGCGCAGAGGCCACCTTCCAGACGCAAGCACAACAAGGGCCTGATGGGTTGTGTGACCCATGGTTTCCCTTGTCGTTTGCTGGATCCCACACCAAAATGGTGAATTTAGGGGCAGAGGGTTGCGCGATGTTTTCTCTGTCACTGGGCGATGGGCGCCCTGAAGTTATAGAGAAGTGCTTGCTCACCTTTGAGCCACAACCAAAACCCGGAGTGAAGGTTGGTAAGGGATAGTCTCTATAAACAGCTGCGGCCGCCCTGTTGATGATTGCATAGTTTTGGGCAGACCACTGAAGTATCAGGTTTTTATGTTGTAGGATGGCATTCCTCAAGAGAGCCACAATCAATACCCGTGCAGATCAAGTCAGGGACAGATTCAGCCAGAGATAGGTGCGGCCGCCCTTTTGATTCTTTACATGGTGTTGGGTAAACCCTCTTCCTTTCTGGTGCTCAGTATGGAATGTGGGAATGAACCTAGGGGTCCGCTTAAAGGAACCACAAGGGATGGTTTACAAAGGTCATTCCCTCATTCCCTGCTTAGCACCAGCAAGTTGCGTTGATGATGACTCCGGTAGCTTTATGCCAAACTGGTGTCCTTTTTCCCTTTTGGTGCGATTTTTGTCTAAACTCAAGCAACCAAAAGTCGCCTAGATACTGAGCCAAGGACGGATCACGATCCCTTTTGAAATGGGGGGCCAAAGCCTCCAGTTGAACACCAACACGTTTTTGTAGGCTGTGAGTTCCTTCGTAATGCACATACTTCTCACCTGTTCAGTTTGCGAACTTCCAGTTGAGTCAGGATTCATCAAAAGGTTGGCCAAACAACTCAGGCCACTTTGCATTTGGCAGTTCCTTTAAAGGATCCACTTGCGGATTATTCCCGCAACCTGTGTTGATTCCCTGAAAACCAGCAAGTTCTTCATGTTGCCATCAGAACCATCTTCTTGTGTTTTTTTTCAAAATGGCAGATCCTCCCATTTTGAGGGCCCGGTTTGGTCTTTTCCTGCTCACCAATCCCCGAGCTTGACCGGTTCTCAGCGAGTGAACCGTTTGGAATCCCCCTGAAGAAGAAACCGGCGGTTGGATTGTTCGAAGAGGTCATTCCAACTCATTCCTCACTTCCCGAGTTGCCGTTTCGGGAGCCTTCAGTCATTTTTGTGGGCTGGAGCTTTTGAGGGGTAAACAACAGTGTGCTTTTGGCCAATCCAGTCCGCAATAAAAATATCTCAAGTTCAGCAACTCCCTGGTTGCCTTAGAGGTTCCCGATCCGGATCTGTGAAAAACCAAAGGATACCAAGCTCAAGAACTGAACTGGGGTCTCCAGCCAAGGAGCAAAATTCTTTCGGTGGGCTTCTCTTTAAACCCTCAACGTCGCCTTCTCGCGGCCCAGACTACGGCAGCTGCAAGCTGGGGGAGCTCTGTCGACATGCGCACTCCAAGGAAGAGCTCAGGAGAACTCCGACCTCCAGTGGATTGCTTTTTTTTCAGATTCCTTTTTGGGGAGCCAAGGAGCTGATGAAAATTATTTTTTTGGGAGCGACACTTGCGTTTATGCCACCACCTCAAGCCGCGAAAAATTGTGAGCTGAAGCAAGTGGACAGCTCATCTGATCTGATGTAGGCCTTCCGTACCCAAGCCGACGACGACTCGATCGTACGCTTCCTCCAGATGGTGGGTGGTGATGGCGCTGCGACCATCTGCGCTACTTCGGACTCGTTGCGACTCCACGAAAATCAGCTTCCGAGCGCGCCAGCCACAATCAACACCCGGCAAGATGAAGTAGGGGACACTCTAAATGGTCGCAGCCGCCTTTTTGGTTCAGAGTAGATCATTTTAGAACCAGGTTTTGATTTGACTCAATATGTCCTACTTAGAACAGTAGCAAGCGAAAATGTCAATCTGTAAGAGTGTAGTAATGAGTGCAGACGAGTGCAGCAATCACTAGCCACCAGAATGCAACCCACACGAAGGTCCCCGGAATAGGAAGCTGTCTTTCAGGGGCTGCCAGTCAGGTTCTCTCTCCAACATTCACAACTTTTGCAGATTAGCATAGAAACCTCAAACCCATCATCAGTAGAGGAATCCAGCTTTTATGGGTTGCATCCGTTAATTTGCAGGGATTCCTGCAGGTGGTTCCACTTAGTTGACGGACACAAACCCGCATGTGGGATTGAACAAACGTTCACATGCTGGGGAAGGCCGCCATTTGCCATCAAGACCGGGTTTATTAAAGTGACATTCTCCTAAGATTAGCCTCTAACTAGTGGCCTTCATAGGAACCCGGGCAACAAACATGTTGTTAGTTTTTTTGTTGTTTTTGAGAACCTCTCAATTTGGTTTGTTCTTCACCACTTTCTATACCAAGTTTCAGCTTCCCTTACTTGGTGGTTTGGAGTGGTGGTTTCGGGATGTGAACCCCAGTTCCTTAAATGGGGAAGGTACCTGTCCAAACCACCAGGCACCACCAAGGGGTAAGGGGAAAGTTGGAGCTTTCCTACTTCATACTGCGCATGGACGAAATCCTGCACCACGTTGAATCCGTGGTAAACCATGGCTTGTTGGTATTTACAGGGTAATCGGTGGTGCAGAAGGTTGTTCATCCACAGCAGGGATGCCTCACACAAGTAGGAGCCTTCCTGAGCTTCCTGGTCTCCCCGAGAGCCTTGCAAACGCCTTGCTCGCGGAGAGCAATGGCGGCGGGGATGGGACGGGGGGGGGGGAGCTACATACCATGGGAAAGCATTGTCTATTGGGTGTGTCCTTGGCAAATTGACAAACACGATCCTTATTGCGAGGGGTCATCGTTGATTTTGTCCTCCAGTTGGCGTGTCACAAGGGTGCTTTTAACCTAGGGTGCCTTGTGCCAACCCAACCATAGTCTAACATCAGGTGACCCGATAGTGGAAATCCACCGTTTCAGGGCAGCCTTGTCATGAGCTTGGGTTTGGCAAACGGGATATTGAATGTGTATATATATATATATGTTGGAATTCCTGCAAAACTTGCAGGTATGCTTGTGTATTTTCATGGGGTAACCCCCAAAGATTGGCGTGACGGTTTTCCCTGTGGTTTCCCTTGAAAACCAAACACAGGCTACCCAGGCAAAGGAAAGGAACCACATCTGTATTGTCCAGCCCCGTGATTGTATGTTCAAAGTCACCCCCACTCAGTGCCAGGTTAAAAGGGAACCCAGCAACCAGTTTCCGACTTTGAACCCCCAGCGCAAACAATGACATCCACGCGGTTTAGTGATTCTTTCGATAGATGGTATCGATTCCTGGATGGCCCGTGGTTTAGTGATTGTTTCGATGGAACATAGATATCGATTCCCGTGGTTTAGTGATTGTTTCGGTAGAATATAGATATCGATTTTTGGATGGCCTGGTTGTTTCGTAGTCTACCAAGGGGAGTCCATTTGTTTTCCCACAGGGGTCAAAATCAAACCACGGCACAGCGTTCAGGTCTGACAATGTTTGACCCACAAAACGAAACAAATCAAAAAACAACAAACCATATCCCAAAATAAGTCCGCACCCAAATTAAGCCCCGGCACAGGTTAAAACGTCACTGGGGTTTTTCAGCCTCCGCGAGGTGCTATGAAGGGCCTGGACATGCGCGCCCGGTGCCCAGTGCCCGCGCGCTTGCAAGAGCGATGCCGCGACAAACGCGGGTTGATGTTTGCATGTCCAAGCCGAAAGTGGTGGGGCTGGGGGGGGGGTAAAAGTTTACATTCAGGAGTCAGGTTTTAATTGGAAGGAAGGAAGTTTAAATTTTAATTGCAAACGCTTCGCGTCGCCCGCCTCGGCCAGTCCGCTTTTGGCTGGCTTGGAGGTTTTTGCCGTGCTTTAGTTTGCCTTGAAGTCTTGCTTTTATTAGAGTGAGTGAGTCGGCGCCGAAATGCGTGAGCTGGTTTCCAAGGCAGAGGGCGGGTGCATGTCGGCGTGTTTCCACATGGCGGCCAAGCCAAGGGCGCATTTTCTAGGAAACTTGACTGGTTTCTGGGGGGAATTTTTCCGGTTTCTGGGGTTGGACCGGAGTTGGACCTGTTTTTAGAGGGGGTTTGACAGGTCCAGCGGGAGGGACCAGAGTTGGACTGGTGGAGAGTCTGGGTGGGAAGTTGGCCGGTTTTTAGGAGTGATTTGATCGGTGTCTACAGGGGGATTTGGCCGGTATCTACGGTTTTTAGGACTTTGACCGGCCCAAGGGGAATTGCAGAAACTGACCGGCTGGCAATACGAAGAGATCTGCTTCCTGGCCTTGAGCCTTCCAGGCTCGCTTCAGGCGGGCTGGAGGCAGCTGGAGCAGGGATTTTGGCGACGTGACATTGGGGTGGGGGGGGGGTTTTGATCACTTCCCGGCCCTGGGGGCCGAGGCCAATAAAAGGGTTTATAGGTTTTGTTTAAGCAATTGTTTTGTATTTTAGGAGTTTTTGTTTTGCAAGAGAAACAACCAACACAAGGGGGGTTGGGTAGCCCGAACAGATTTCTAGATGTGATTGTCCTGTGATTTTAGCCTTGAAGTTGGCATGAAAGGAGGTTGTCGGAGCCGTGAGCAAGAATATGTGGGACTGTGGGACATTGGCTTGATGACAGTTGTTTGATTATGATGTATAGAGATGCACAGATGTTTAAAACGTATTTGAATTAAGTTTTTAATTGATGATGTTTTCTCGCTTCCTGTCACCTCAACAAAGGCATCTTAGACATGAATGGAGGAGGTGAATAAACGGCCACTCAAAGAAGAAAGAGATGATGCGCCAATCATAAAACCAACCTTAACGTCGCTTGCAGGAAAGCCCTTGACAAAACAAGTTGCGGTTGTTTTTTTGACTTACCACCAAAAGCTACCCTCACAGAAAGAGTACCCGTCACGCGTTCGGTGTGGGCAACCAAGAGAAACCTGCTTGGGGAAGGTTCCTCAATTTTGAGACACACCCATATCGGGGTTGGTCAATATTCCTGGCCCCAAACTCCCCATGCGTAGCTTTTCAACCATGCGATGATTTAATCAAAACTATGTTGGTCTCCCTAATGGTCAGCCCATGTATCACGGACCTTTTGGTAAACCCCCATATACTTGCTGGTGCTCAGCAGGGAATGGGGGAGTGACCCTTACAAACCATCTCTCGCGGTCTCCTTTAAGGCGACCGGGTTCATTCCCTCATTCCCACCCGCAAGTATAGTAGGCAACCAAGGGCTTGCCACCCTTTAACCATATATGAACCCCTGGTATGAACGGACGAAATCCTGCATCACCTGAGAAACCATAGAATGATGATTCCCCTGACTGTAAATACCAACAAACCGTGGTTTCCCATGGTTTGAACGTGGTGCTGGATTTCGTCCATCAACTGTAGTTTATGGCTTAATGAACCGTTAGTGGCTTAGGCAATGGAAAATCAGCATCCCTTCTAGGGTCCCCAATAGATTCGCATGGGTTCCTGTTCTGGACCTGACGGCTGGTTACCTAACTGCGGCTGGTTCCCATGTTTCAAAGTTCATGGGGAGGGAGCCCAAATAAGCACTGATCTTAAGGCCTTATGTAGCTTATTTGGGCTCCCTCCCCCAGCCCCCCCCCCCCCCCTGCCCAGCCATGCTCCCCCCATGCCCCACCCCTCACCACCCCCCTTCGCAGCCACAACTCCCCCCCGCCGCCCAACATCTTCGGCCGTGGCTTGCCTGTGGCTCAGGCCCCGAGAATCCCGGGGCCACAGCCCACCGAAGACCTGGAAGCTCAGCAGTCGCAGGAGCCGAACCCCTTGGAACCTTTGGGGAACCAAAGCACCCCGTTTTGGCGGGGCCAAAAGTCCTTCCTTTCGGAGAACCCGTAAAAAAAGTCGCTTCCTTTTGTTGGGTTGTTTCCCTAAAAACAGAAAAAAGTCGCTTCCTTTTGTTGTTTTTGTTTTTTGGTTGACTTCCTTTGGGATGCTGAAGGGATTTCAACAGGAAACCGCCTAGCTCTCGGGCTCTTGAGTTTTGAGAGCACCGTTCAGGCCGCTTTACTCTTAAAAAAGGCATGGAGCCCAAAAACAAGGTCCGCTTCCCAAAAAAATCATTCCTCTGCACATGATGGTTTTGTGGGATATTCCAGATTAGTTTTCAGGAAACAATGGATTCTCTTGCAGCCTCTCGGGTCGATCTACGCCGTAAAATGCTCCTCTTTTTTTGGCTCAGCGTCTGCTCTCTTGAGCCTCAGCCTTGGATGTTCGCCAAGCAAACGGGAATAGCTATCAGGAATGCCAAGACACTGCGCAAGCCAGCATGTAGTTAGTGTTTTGTTTTTTGTTTTTTTTTGTTTTTTTAAATTGCCAGCTGGATAAGAATATTATATATTTCGATGTAGAAGTCAAGGGAGAAGCGACCGACATTTGCCAGATACCATGGCTCTTATCCATGCTTCTTTGCTTGCTTGCCCATGGGCGATGTTCGGACGTGTCTTATTCGGGGCCCACCCTCCAATAACCTGAACACCCTGCAAGCATTTGTGTGGCACTAGGATAATTGCTGCAGTGATGGTAGATAAACTTATATTTCAAAATCCACCTCACTCCAACCGCACAGATACCACAGCAGGTGAGCCGAGGTTGTTCAATTTTGTTTTTCTTTGAATGCTTTCCTTGGTGCCTTAAGTTGACTGTTGTGCGGCATACCTGCTCTCAAAATTACATTGCGGAATGGTTTCATTTCCCTATTTTGGCAAGTGAGTGGATTGGCCTAGAGTCCAAACTGTTGCTTGCCACTAAATGGTCCAGACCCAAAGTGACTAAAGTCCAGGAAGTCAGGACTGAGTGAAGCAACATCCCCAAAGCGAATCGAACTTTCACACTCTTAGCCTTTGAATTGAGGCCCTGATAGGTTTAAAAAGGGGTACCCTCCCAACAACTAACGTGGAACCCACCAAAGGGTCCCTTTAAACGGAAAATAGTCTTCCAGGACCCCTCAGTCAGGTTCCATGTTCGAGGATGGGAGGGAATTCAGTTTCCCCTTTTTCTTTCGCCGCCAGCCTCAGGAGGTAGAGCATCTCCGGCTTGCAGTGCGCCTTGGCGAGCTGTCGATGCCAACTCAGTCCTTCCCAGTGGAGTACTGAACAAGTACTGAACCCCTTGCAGGGTTTTTTGATTTGTGGGGGTGTCCCACTTTACAGGCAAACCTTTGCATTTCGGCGGAAGATTCCCCTGTCCAAGCGTGGTGGATGAAAGTCATCGGTCGACATGTGAACCGTCAACATAGACATCTAGCACACTGTACACGTGAATTTTGCAATTCCAACATCTTGGATCGCTTTGTCACAGTTGAGGCCATGATGGTATGGGAGGGCCGTTCTTTTTGGGGTTGCTAATCTTGGATCCCTCCGATCCACTAACATGGAACTGGAGAGAGGGGTTCTGGACACGGCGGACGATTGTCCTTTTGAAGCGACCCTTGGATGGTTCCACGTTGGTGGGGCAGTTTTGGTTCACTGGCGACCTAAACATACGCTGGATTTGTAAATGTTGCCAGCCAACCAATCATGTCCAACCAACAATCATGGAATCTTGCCCAGGGCCCCCCCAAACACACACGGACAAACTCCTGCAAGACTCATGTTTGTCTCCTTGCTTGCAATGTTTCGACGAGGCATCCCGCGGGTGCCTGCCGCCCTGTGTGAGCATGTTTAAACCACGTGTTCGGGGCAATGTTCAATAATTCTGAGACCAAAAGAAAGGGAGCCTCCTTAACGGAAGCTTCATGGGTGACGTTGCTGTTTGCTCCACCAGACTTGTTGGCTCCGGTGGAATCGAATGTGTAAAGCAACCTGCAACGACCTGAGTACAATGAGATAAGAATCAGACCCCTTTTGGGGATCGAACCAAATTTTGGGGAGGAACCCGCTAGTTAGGTTAATCCAACGAAGGTATCATTCATACTAGGAAATCCCTCTTAAAATGATCTTCGGGCTCTACACCCAAAAAAGATATGGGCGTGGCTCAAAAGGGGCTGAGAATGATGCAACCCGGGAAATATATTCAGACTCCGCCTCATAGTGGGTCTACCCTGAATAAGTCTTTTCTGAGGAGACCCCCGAATCCTTTGCCACTGGTTGTTTTTTAAGAAATCGACCTCAAACATGTGGGGTTCTTGTTGAAAAATCAGGGGAAGTCGTCCAATCCTAGCGGGCTCCCCACTTAAACTGCGTGCGCACCCTCTTGTGTGCATGCGCGTTTATGTGTGTAGTGTGAAAATAGGGGGATTTCCTGGCTTGCTTTTTCATGCGTTGAACAGGTACCCTCAAACCACACCGAGGCTGGAGGGGAAGCAAGAGATGCAGAAGCCGAACGTCTCCGATTCGCGCATGGCAGAGTTGCAGCGGAGGGAGCGCCTCGGCACTGTCTAACTGTCTCTCACTTCGCTGGGAGTAGCCGCATTGCTTGGGTGGGCTCTTGGTGGTTGTTTGAATATGGTTTCTTGTTGTGTGTTTGCATGTGCTTGGTGGTATTTTGAGGTGCTTTTTGGTTGGGCACAGTAGTTGTAAGCCTGGGCTTTTTGTTTGGGTTTTTGTTCTTGTTTGGGTTGTTTGGGTTAATTGGGTTGGGCTGTTCGTGTGAATTGATTTTGGCTGTTCGGGTTAATTGAGTCAAGCCCCAGGTGAACGCCGCTGTGTTGCTTTTGCCACCGGACTGGACACCATTAGGTGCGCAATTGTTTTTTTTTTCGCGACGCGCACGCAACACCACCAGCTTCAAACATATACCTTGCCACGCCGCCACTCCGCCCAGTCCGTGGGCAAATGATAGCACCTGCCCAAGCACACCCGCGCCGGCTTCCTTTCGGTGGGGTCATGTAGGGAGACATTTTGGGGATCTCTGCATATTCTGGCGGCTGAACAGCCAATGTGACATACCAGGTTTCCCGCAAGGAGGCCGCACGGATATCAAAGGGGATGCTTGTTCCAGACACCGGATTTTGAGTTTAGCATATGTTGGTTTTCTCCAGGAGTGTTTGTTTCAACGCTCTCAAAAGGAACCAGAGTGATCTGCATGAGAGCCCCTCCTGTGCGTGGTTCTTTTGTGGAGTTCGATTTTGGCCCTGACATGTTGCGGAGGATTGCAAGGCATGGTTTGATCCTTTGCCATGCAAGGCACTGGGTGGATAGCGTGCACACTCACACACACACAAACAGTACCTACGAACATGACACTGCAGCCCAATGCCCGCCCCCCCAGAAGCGTTCCGATGATCAAGAAGTTGCATCAGCATAGAGCGAGAAGCTGTCGATTCAGGATTTGCATGACAAGGGCTGTGCGCAAGCTTGTTTTAGGGCGTCTCCTCGCCGCTCCTCTTGAAGGTTGAAGGGTGCTCTCACAGGAAAATCCGAGATGTGGATGGAGTTCTCTGGCCGGTTTGCAGAGTTCGGCGTTTCAACATCCCGAGGTTTACCTCCCCCCTTCAGTTCCCAGCAGTCTTTTGAGGACACACATGAAGCATAAGAATAAGGCGCCTCCACAAAAGAAGATCCTTTCCTCCTTTTCTTGTTTCGTGTTCACCTCTATGAGGAGTACCTGGACGCCTTGGTTTGATAACCCAGTCAACCCCGTAAAGGGGGTTACAATCCTATTTTGGGTCTTTCTTTTTTCGGGTCCCCTCCCTAAATTGGCTCGTTCCCGTACTTTCCAACTAAAAGAGGGTTCACGATGCTGACCACCCCCCCCAATGTATTACTCAGTTCAAAACCAACCTGTGAAAGGCAAGCCGTCACACGATACCGGTTGCGTGCAGTCTGTGACACTCCCGGCGACTCGTTTTGCGTGTTCCTTTTGCAGAGCCCATGTTTCACTTTTTGAGTACAGGGGCAGAGCCTGTTTTCCCCGTCCTGGTTTGGAGCAGCAGCGCTGTGGCAAGGCTATTCCAGGTCTTGCAATTCCAGGTACAGCCAGATTGGGGGACCCTTTGCTAGGCATCATTTAGGTGCAAGCCCCGCGGCTTTGGAGGGCGGCTTTAGGTGCAAGCCCCCCGAGAGGCAATGCCTTGTAAAGCGTTTTTTGTGGATAGGGATGATAGGGCGGCTTTGGAGGCAGTTGAACCTTTTGGCTTTTCCCCTTTTAGTCCACAATCTAGTAAATGTCCCAAAAGGCACCTGTCGGATCAATTTGCTCCAGGGAATTTTGTCATGTGCCATGTCAGTGGGATGGTAACCATTTATTTGTTCAGGTCTTTAGAAAGGGGAGATGAACAACCAAAACCTTTCAGCGGCCCATGTTTCGCCCTTTGCCGAGGCAACAGTCCTTGAACCGGCTCCAGCAGCTCACCGAGCTCCAGACGCTGCAGAGATATGCTCTCAGGCAGCCCGGAAATACGGAAATGCTCGTGGCTGGGGGTCTAAGATAGGTACAAATGGAACCCTGGTAAATGAATGGAACCAAGGACTTAAACCTGCGGTCCAATTTCTGGTGGTTTGATTTTGAGCCATACCATCGTGCCTATAGCTGATCTATCCCAATCATAGTTTGGTACCCTCTTTCCAACAATCATGGAAGTGCACAAAGGGGTTCGCCAAAAGGAAAATAGTCTTCCAAAGCTCTCCTGTCAACTTCCATGATTGTTGGAGGGAGGGTAAATCAAATGTTGAGATAACTTTTGAACACCTTAAAATTATTGTTCACATTTTGCATGGCTGTCGTTAGGGATTGTTCTGCATTCTTCCACGTTGTCACGTTGCCCATCGGCGAGAAGGAGAGCTGTGTTTCCCCTGCAGGATTTGTGTCTTCAGAAAAAGGTTTCAGAGTATCTTCTTTAAAGAAGATGTGAAAGGGAATGGAGGGGATCAGCCTACAGTTGCCTCGATATCAGCCGCAGCCCAAGAGTTCACTCGGCAACCATTTCAAGGGTAAACACACCGATATACGAAAGGACCAGGATCCTGGAGATAGGGCAACACATTCCGCAACTCTGGATTGACTTTGAATTGGCCTACCGTGGCATGCCACACGATGTGCAAGGCAAACAATGGCAATGCAGTGCTATCCGGATACTCAACTTACTACAACCAATACGCATGCCAATGCTCATGCTAATGCTAGTGCTAGTACTGATGATCATACTATGCCAAAATATATTACGCACACAGACAGACAGAGAGACAGACAGAGACAGACAGAGACAGACAGACACAGAGAGAGACAGACAGAGACAGACAGAGACAGACAGACACAGAGAGAGACACACAGAGACAGACAGAGACAGACAGAGACAGACAGAGACAGACAGAGACAGACAAACAGACAGACAGACAGACAGACAGACAGACAGACAGACAGACAGACAGACAGACAGACAGAGACAGACAGACAGAGACAGAGACACTCATCTACAATATTTGTATAATATACCTTAGCAGAGTATCGTATTAGTATAGTTAACTATAGTATAGCATAGTATGATTCAGTTTAAATTGATATAATGTAATGTATTCTGTCATTATACAATATAACACTAATTTAACAACATGAACAAATAAACAGTATATAGCTTACGTATACACATACACAGTTACATGACATGGCGCATTTGCGTCACGTATAGAGGCGGGCATACATACTTTTACCTACATACCCATGCACAGCACACACTGGGGGCTGCGCAGAGGTGTCAACACCGTCCAGTTTGTTCCAACTGTCCAGGGCTTGCGGAATCAACTGCCCAAGGTGAAACTCCAGGGTTGAGCCGTGTTTGGCGTTGATTAGTTGCTTTTATCCGTGTACGGCCCACATGGGCTGAAAAAACAACCCCGCGCCTTTTCGTTATGTAAGGGGCCGTCCCTTAACTTGTTTCGCAGGCCAAAACCATTGTAAACCGATACAGAGGAAAAAAACCGATACCCCCAGAAGCCATGAAGACACACATCAGGTCCTAGTTGTTGTCGCAAACCAAGATTGCGGAATCATAAATTTGCAGGGCCCAAACCGATACCCAAACCGATACCCAACCGATACCCAACTCATTGGCCGCCATGCCGAATCCAACCAGCTGCCCTGCAGCCTTCTCTGGAGCTGCCAACATGTACTTTGTGTACTACATTTGTACTGAAAAGTTGCGACTGCCGCTGTGGAGCTGCCAAAATGTACTTCGTATACTACACCATACTACACTTGCTTGCACTGAAAAGCTGCGACTTTCGAGCCGGAGCTGCCAAAGTGTCCTGCGCATACTACTGAAAAGTTGCTACTTTCCAGCTGGAGCTGCCAAAATGTACTTTGTGTACTACACTTGTACTGAAAAGTTGCGACTTTCCAGCTGGAGCTGGGAGCTGGCAGAGTGCACTTCGCATACTACACTTGTACGGAAAAGTCGCGACTTTCGAGCCAGAGCTGCCAAAACACTGCAAACCAATGCAGAGGAAAAAAACCGATACTGACCGATACTGAGGCATAAGGATACAAGGGTTGTCTACGGGTTTTTTTTCAACCCACATGGTGTTATTTTCCCGATCCCGGGCAAATGTTTCTGAGAAGCTCTGTTTTTCACCCAAACTGGTGGCACCCTGGATAGATTGCTCTGTGTCAAAACAAAGCACCCAAGGATTTCGGTTTTCCTTTGGGCTTCCCTTTCAATCTAAAAGAGCACCCGAGCCGTCTCTGCACTCCAGGAGCTTGCCGGAGCCCGGGCGCTCGGTGGAAGACCTTCTTGCAGATTTTCTGTTGGCGACCCGTTGCGACATCAGAAGTCAACTGGACGTGGCTGGCTCGAAAAAAGAAGGTCTCGGGCACTTGCTTGTTGTTGTTTTGTCTTATTTTTCCGGGGGGAGGCGGGTTCAGTCCAGCTAAGTTTGGTCGTTAAATTCTACCACCCCGGATGGTGTTGGACCTCTGAGTTGCCGTGCGCGTGGCACCGCAGAATGGGAGGGAATTCGGGGCATTTCGCAGGTTTGACACCCCTTCCAACCGAGCCTGGGTGCTCGTTGCTTTGGTCCCTCAAGTCGCGAGCTTCGATCATTCCAAGCCATGGGCCGGAAGGTGTTTTGCACATCTCGTTGTCAGAGGCATACTGTCAAGTCAGGATCTCTTGGCTGATCGGATCCCCGGAGTGCAGATTTTTTTCCGGAGAAGCATGGCAATCTCCTTGGTGTGGTTCTCGTATGGCCATAAAGGCATGTCATGCGGTTATCTCATCTGCGGAACTAGAGATGAGCATGATGAAGTGCAAAATGAAAGCACGAGATCCTTCTGGGGGTCTTGTAAGACTCACGGTTCACCGTATCTCGTAGAACGCGTGGCCGGCTCCGGCCACTGCGAGGCTACCCGTTTTGTGGGTTAGTTTAACTGGAAAGGCAACCCGGCGACGGTCGGTTGCCGGAGGATCATTGAGCTTCAGTTGCTTTTTCGTGCGAAATGTTGGCTACTCAAGGACTCAAGGCGACCCAGATATGGATTTGGATGGTCACTCCGACGGTCCGGTGTGCGGCGGCACCTTGAGCAGACAGAAGGCGTGACCCTGCATGCAAGAAAGCGAGGAGTGAGCTATCCGTGGTCCCGCGCAATTTTGAAAGTTCGCAGTTGGCGCAGCCCTACAAACTGCCATGATTATATTGGAGCATGGTGACATAGTGACATCTCCGTTCACCAAAGGGCACGCATCCTGATCAAAGCAGTTCCGCATACTGCTAGCCTTTTGTCCACTTCTCGGGTCAAGACATGTTCACGATGTGTGCCTCATGACATGTGCCTGATTTTGTTCACGGCTGCAACATCAGGTAAAGGACCTCATGTTAAAGGCATTCCAGGTTTCAACCACATTCCGGGCACGCTCACCATTGGACAACCTGTGGTGCTTGTGACTAGCTGTCCCAGTTCCAGGTTTTGATGCATGTTTGGACGTTTCCTGAATCGCCCCTTTCTCTTCTCTCCAAATGCATCGTATGGAATTGCCGGCTCAGGCAATCTCAGCAGCTTCCACAGCAGCAGCCACAGCAGCTTCCACAGCAGCTTCCACAGCAGCAGCCACAGCAGCGGCCACAGCAACAGCCGCGCAAGCCGCAGCAGCAGCTGCAGCAACAGCCGCAGCCGCTGCAGCTGCAGCCACAGCTACAGCACCAGGAACAGCAGTACGTGAATCAGCAGCACTTGCAGCAGCAACAGCAGAAACTGCATGATCAGCTGCAAGAACAGTTGCAGCTACAGCAGCAGCAACAATTGCAACAGCAACAGCTGCTGCAACTGCAGCGCTTGCAGCAGCAGCAGAAGCTACAACCTGGGAGCCTTGACTTGAATTGGTGTGAGGCAAAGACAAGCAAAGTGCGGAGCCACAACAAATGGAACTTCCAAAACCATCATGTTAGGAGGTTGCCTTGCGGTTTCTATTTTAATTTGCGGGGAGAACAATGCGGAGAAAAGGAAGTAGCTGATAGTCCCAACATGGTGATGCCCTCTCTATTCCTGACAAGTTGTGAAGACTCCTCCGGATTTATTGACCACGACACAGACGTAAATGCCCCGGAGTCCTAGATTAATCAACCATGTCAGCAGTTAGACGAACAGCAAACAAACTCAGCAGTTCCATCATGATTGATTTCATTATTGGGCGTGCGTAATACTTTCACGTGCTTTCCATTGAAGGTGTCATGTGTTTTTGTTCGTATTCAAGTTCTAATAGTTGAAGTGGCATGGTCGCCACTGGGAAAATCATTGGATGTGTGTCACGAGCTTGCTTGTGTTGGCCCGGCTGCCTATGAGAAGCACCTCAAAGATGGATTTGGTTTGACACATTTACCCAAGGTATATCCAAACGGAGACCTCCCAGTACTTAATTAGTCAGTTAACTCATGGGGGCTCACGGGTAAACCAAC